GAGGGATTGCTGAAGAGTCAATGAGTCGATGCAATCAACTGGTTTTAATTAGATAAAAAGCTTTGAATCAATCTAACTGGATGATCTGGTAAACTGTAAAGTGCCTTGTGTGTTGTGAATTGGCGCTATAGAAATACAGTGAAATAAACTGAATTATTCAATTTCTTTTAATTAAAGTATAACAGCTGATTGATAGTACAGCATGGATTATAAATTAAAAAGGCAGATTGCCTCACTGGATTTATAAACAATTTTACATTTTATTGGATAGATTTTGTCTTAAAGTACAAAAGTGATCAAGATTTGATGAAAGCCTTTCCTCTGACGCTGTTCCTGTCAGACGGCTTCTCTTCTCTTTACTTCTGGCGGTTTTGATTGAATTATGCTCATAGAACCATTTGCATGTCCAAACAAATGGACTCCCTTCAAAGTCTCATCTCGGATAAAAAACAGAGCTTGCAAACGATCGCACACAAACTCGGGGTCAATAGGTAACACAACACACACACAGTTTGACCACAATGCACAGCACACAAACACACGGTTTGACCACGATACACATCAGCACACACGGTTTGGTAAGACCTCAATTTGCATCCAGATAGGCCACTTCCATGCTGACAAACCAACCTGAAGCCACATCCTCCACCTCTTTCCTTCTCTCATTTCTTCTCCTGGTCTTTCTCAAAGATCCCCTCACACCTGACAAGCCAGACCCCACCCACCTCCTTTATCTGCTCTCTGATTGGCTGCCTGCAGCTGTCAGTCACGCTAAGTGAGAAGAGTTCTGGTTTGGGGTTGCGGACAGGCCTGGCCTTGGGTTCGGACGTCGGCTTTGTGCACTGACAGATTTAGGTTTTGGGGTTTATTTGGGTTTCAGCCTCTCTGACCGCCACCGACCAACACTGCTCTGCTGCTCGCACCAAACAGGTGAGTAGCTGCACCCTGACTCCCTCTCAGCAATGAGAAGGTGGACAGCCATTTAAAGCTTATAACAGATTAGCAAGCATTTTGATTTGGACGAAAACTGAAAAAAAATAGTTTATTTTATTTAAGGAGCTGAAAGCAGAGCAGATTTGGGAAGTTAGTTATGAAAATTAATTTGAAAAAAATCTAAATACACAAAAACAGCAACTCTCTGCTCTTCTGTGACTAAATCTATCAACTTCTACAAGCAGTTTGAATTTTTCCTCATTATACATCAACTCTGGGGTTCAAACTAAACCAAAAACCTGCTAAAATAAGAATATTTCTGGACCATTCTTGCAGTAGAGATAATTATATTACTTTTATCTATAATAAAAAAAAAAAAAACATTACAAATTCCCAAAAAATATTTAAAATCAACATGTCTATGTCTTACCGACAAACTCATCAGTTGCTTAAAGCTGC